AGGACAACAGTTACTTAGGCAGGCTATCCTTGGAAATCCAGGGCTGGAATCAAATCAACTAACCTACTGAATGATCGCCTCCAGTTCCCAAGATTAAGGTTGTTTTAGGCTATATCCACACAAAGACAAAACGCTTATAATTTCAGAAACTTTTTCTGTAAACACGGAGTTAGCTCAGTAAATGTGTGCGTCCATATGAATGTAGTCAATACGCCTGAAAACGCTGTGAAACTATGCCAGACCTGTTGGTGGCGCTGTGACGCAATGACGGGATCAAGCCCAAACTTCCGTGACGGGAACTGGGCATGCGCAGAATTTTGTAAACAGACAACATGGCGAGTGGGCGAGCTGGTACTACATTAGTATGGACGGACGATGAGGTTGAACTGTTGCTTCGGGTCGCACTGGATTACAAAACCAACAAGCTACATTGTTGTTGTCATTATTTTCTGAGTGCGGCGCATGCGTGCTTTAACAAGAGGCGGGCGATGACGCGTCTCAGATACATTGCGGAGAGGCAGTAACCACGGAGCGGCATATACGGAGTTTTGAAATCTTTCCACTCTGGGACCTACTTTCAAAAATGTTCGTTTACACCCCCCCAAAACGCCGGCCTCGTATGGACGATACACTGGATTGATAAAGTATTTTTGCGTTTAGGCCTGAGCTTGACTTCGTGTGGACAGGGCCTTAGTGTTCTTTGGAAATACATAACATAATGTTTTGAATTCATTATTATTTGTAATTTTGTATTTACTTTGAGTGCAACAAAATAATTTATAATTTTTCATGAGCACATGCGCTGACATCTCACTCTTAGTCGGTGGGGGTGTACCCGGAAAGAGAATTACCCAATGCATTTTTTATGGCACCTTCTTTCTTCTCAAAAGCGTCTTTACAGGATGGTCCTAAAATAGCTCAAAGACACGTCCCAGGCGCCTTCAATGCTGGGGGGAGTTTTTTTTTGACCGGCCAAGTTAAACCGCTGTGGACTTTTTGAATGCAGTTGAATATCCTGTCCCACGGCCAAAGCTGTAGCACATTAGTTTCAAGTTTGTTAATATTTACAGTCTACATATATAGTTTTGTTACACTTTCCACATCGCTAGTCCCCTCTGCACCGTCACAAAGAGCCTGATTAGCTTTTAGCTGCTTTTAGCTCAATGCACAAACCCTGTCATAGCAAAGCGCTCCTCATAGGTGACCGCGGCGGGGTAATGACGTGAGCTGTCAAATTCAATAGCCAGGCGACTTTAATGATAATCTAAGACGGCTCTCCTCCCCCTGACCCAACCCTCCAGAGTAACCCGATGGATGACAGGAAACAAACACGGCCTCCACACTTCTTCTTGCTAATTAGCATCATTAGCATACGACCACCGCGAGGCTAGACGGTGGCATGACAGGGCTGTGAGGGGGCTTCAGCTGTGACCTTTGGCGGACAACACCGGCTGTCAGTAATTACCAGTGCAGGGCCCCGGGGACACGCAGAGAGACTCGCTCCTCTTTCTTTAAGACTTACGTCACCTGAGGAGGGCGGCCATTATTGAGCTGCTTCAAGTGCGGCGTAAGTGCTCTGCTCGATGCACAATAGAGAAATAATATTGTTTTGAGATTTGTTTTGTATTGCCTAGCCCCCAAATGCTTGTGTTTGCAAATATTCTTAGCAATTTCGGTACATTTATATTAATTAGGAACATGTGCAGGAGCTTTTTAATGACAACGCTGCACACGGTTTGGAAACTACAGGACTAATAGAATATGCAATTAAACACAACTGCTCATCTTTGTTATCAAATTGAATCGTAGAATTAGATACCTGGTGGTTGGAGGGCTTTTGCGTAACTTTAGAGCAATGTGCACGTTTCAGCTGTACACTACACAAAATACAATTAAAACAACATTAATGCACGATACAAAAGTTACATATAGACAAAATAAATGGTTGGTGGTGTTGATTCGGGGCTGATGGTCCAGTGTGTTCGGCGACTCGCTTCTGTCATCACCGTGTGTGGAATGATTGGAACAATATCTGAACTCTGCACATTGTAAAGCGCTTTGGGTGACCTTGGTCTGTAAAATGCGCTATATAAATAAACATTACTTACTTACTAAATCAAATATAATATAATTAGACACAAATCCTTTCCAAACTCTCCCTTTGTGAGAGCTTTAGGTGCTGTCAAATGAGCTCACACAAAATACATTATGGATCTATCAGAGAAATATTCCAGGTCCAGAGGGTGAAGTGTCGCTAGAGAGGTGGCCTGGCCCTCTCCTGGTTAATAATATAGAAATGCTCCTCAATTTTTCCCTTGTGCCTTGAGAATGTTTTATTTTTGGAGCTACAGTGCTGTAAGTCTGGAGCCATAGAAAGTTTTTTTGGATGTTTCACAAAAAAGAGAACAGATGATTGTTTGAGTGACTAAGGCATTTTTGTAAACACAAAGTTGGAATGATTCGTCCCTGTGTTAACCGTGGTGGTAAACTCTTTCTGTTGCCACGATTTCCTGAGGGTAGACTGAAGGGAGTGTAGGTTTGGAGAGCTGCCAATCTGTGCAATCGGCCTCTCTGATGACCACCAATTATTCACACACATTATTCTGCATGCTACAGGCACATGTGACATTATTGTAATACTACGCATACTTGGCATCTATACCTGCTGCCTGTGCTAATAAAGCATATAAAAGAGAATCATCTATTTAAAAAAAAATGTATATTGAGTATTCCATATTTTTCTTGTTTACCGGTTAATCTGTGATCCCTCCCTCACCTATGATCAAGGACAAGACCACGGATACAAGCGGTCGAAATGAGCTTCCTCTGCAGAGTGGGCGCTTCCTTAGAGATAGGGTGAGGAGCTCGGAGTAGAGCCGCTGCTTCTCCACGTTGAGAGGAACCAATTGAAGTGGCTTGTGCATCTGTTCAGGATGCCTCCTGGACGCCTCTATGGGGTGGTCTTCCGGGCACGTCTAAACCGGGAGGATACCCCAAGGAAGACCCAGGACACAGAGGAACTATGTCTCTCTCTGGCCTGGGAACACCTTGGGGTCCCCCCGGACAAGCTGGAGGAAGTGTTTGTGGATAGGGAAGTCTGAGCGTCTCTACATAGACTGCTGCCCCTGCGACCCGGCAACGGATGAAGTGGAAGAAAATGGAATGGAATATTGAGTATGAATATTTCGGAATTTTAAGAACAAGACAATTTAACCATATGATCTGCTTGTAAAGAGGCCTCTCCACTGAAGTGTTTATATGTATAATTTAGTCTTTGTTTAGTTTATTTTTTGCAGCTAAACCCTTTCAGTATAACACATGCTGCTCATTCATGCCACGAAAAGAATAATCCTTTATCTGTGAACATGGTATGGACACCCACATTACACGTCGCTATAACTTGAAGTTTCTTGGTGTAGTGTTAAAGTTCCAAGGTGGTGTGCACAGACCTTTGTGAGTATTTATGGATTGAGCTAACCTGCCTTCGGCGCATATGGAGATGCATTTAACCTAAAAAAAAGGATCTTTAAAAAGTATCTGAAAATGTTCAGAGCTTCGGGCTGAGATTTAACTAAAGTGTGTGACTAAATCGGGAACTGTCTGTGTAGTCTCTGCCAGGGGCTTGAGTTTGCAAACTGTTGACAAATAATATGATAAATGGAGTTGGGAATAATGACTGCTGCTCTGATTTGAAGCAGACATGGATGTGTTTTCTGCCAGAGCTGGAAATTGTTCATGGGGATTTGGAAGCTTTTAACATTGATTTTAAAAAGGTACCCAAAAGTGACGGCATAGTTCTCAACAAGCAGCCACCGGCTTCATGTGTCTCGTTGAGTGTCTGCTGAAAGATCCCCACTGTTTTGAAAATGAAATTGTATTGATTCCCATTGACTGAAGCTCTGTGTAATAAGATAAGGCCTATGAGACGCATTTGTTCAGGCAGGCTTTCTCGCCTCACCTTACATTGGCCTATGTGTAATGTTTTAGATGATTAGAAAAGATAAGATAGACTTTATTGATCTCACACTGGAAAAATGTACATGTCACATTTGGCACAGATAGAATCACTCAGATTGTGCAAACATGTTAAAGATATAGCCTTCTGTACATTGCCATTTTTTGCAGTCGACTTCAGTGTTTTATTGTTTGTGAAATGCTTTGTGATCCTGGTCTGCGAAAGGCACTATACACTTACTAGACTTACTAGACTTACTAGACTTACTAGACTTACTAGAACGTACAATTTCTATTTGACTTCCATCAATATTTAAGGTGGGGCAACCATTATTTTTTTCCCATTAAAAAAACACAAACATTGTGTTTTTCCCCAACAGAAATAGAAATTATTTAAACAAAAATGATCCCATTTTGCGGGGCAACAGTGGCTCAGTTGGTAGAGCATTGGCCTTTGAGCCTAAAGGTCGTGGGTTCGAGCCCACCATAAGACCTTCTTCACGACTCCCACTGATGTCTGTTGTCGTTGTTTCCTTGGGCAAGACACTTAACCCCACTTTGCCTGAAGCCCCTACTGAATAATCAAGGCTCCTGTGGACTCACCACCTGCAGGAGGATCAGTGAGGGGCTGGTGCTATGTGTACTGGGTGCAACTTTGACTGCCACACCCCCAACCCAGAAATGGATTAATGGATCCCATTTTGCATGTTTATCTGTGGTACAACTATACCACAAAGTGCCCTGTCCCCTGGAGTCACTATTTGAAAAACTTGGTACTATTGTTTTCGCTTTTCTGTTATTAAAGATGATTTTAATAACTAGTTGTCCATCCATCCAGTTGTAGTTGTAATAGTGGTAATCAAGTGGTAGTATTAGATCATTAAAATAGCTAGGAAGAGTTAGAAAAAGATAAATAAGCTAAGACTTCAACAGAGCCTATGGTTCAGCTTTAAGATGACATGTTTCAATGTTGTTTTTTAAAGTTTTACAGAACTTTTTGTCCTCCCAATGGTCCTTCTAACCTATTTCTTTGTACTTTTGACCAGACACATCTATAATGAAGGTAACAGCCATAGACGCGGATGACCCGGCGTACGGCAGCAGTGCACGGGTGGTCTACAGTGTCCTGGACGGAGAGCGCTTTTTCACTGTGGAGAAACACACAGGTAAAGATCATTGCAACACACACACTGTGGAAAATTAACCTCACAGAGACGGGATCATACACACACACACACACACTTCCGTCACTTTTTTCTACAGATTTACTTGTCTGACTTATGTGCCTGCTATAACCAATTCTATTCTCTGAGACTCAAATTCCCAGTCCAATCAAAAGCTGTGCCCAGAAACAAGACATTATTTGGCCAGAGGCTGGTGGCTTTTGTGAAGTTCCAGCGACTCCAATACACATATGGCGTTTGTGCTTGGCAATAAAAGGGGGTTAAAGTACACACAGAAAACTCTCAAATGTTCTACTCGAGCCATATTCAATTTTTGGTGTGGAACTGTCAATAAAGTTATTTAGTTTATTCATGAGACATAAGACTTAGCTTTCTCTGTTGTGTGAGGGGTGGCAGTGGCTCGTTGGTAGAGCATTGGTCTCTAAACCAATACAGGGATCAAGAGTTCCGAGCTTCCGGCTCGACCGCACGGCATTGTGGGTAGTATGCTGAAAAAAGTGGGCATAAAATCACGCTCTCCTATTGGATTACCTGTTGCGAGCGTGATCTGTCTCTCTTTTTTCCAGCCCATCGATTGTTTTAATCGCTACAAAAATCACCAATTTCAGACATTTCAAAGGTAAGGTAAAGATATTTTAGTGTAACAAAAAAGCTATGCATTTTTTTTCTTGTGGTTTTAGATGTAAACACAACCGACTGACTATAGAGCTACATGCAGCTTATGCTACTTACGAGGATGGAATGCTTACACGCTAGCTTTATAAACTTGCCCAAAGCAAAGGTGTGCAGTAGGTTTTAAACAAAGTTATTTTCACTTTATCTGTACACATGTGAAATCTCCGTGCTTAAGTGTCTGTCCATACAGCTGACAGTACTGCCTCTGAATGTCATCGTCACTGAGGTCACTCCTGATGACGTGCCCCAGGTATTTGGCCTTCTCTACTTTCAGAAGCTCCACACCAGACAAATATGTCCAAAGTACAGCTTTGGGCAAGTTTGTAAAGCTTGGGGTAAGCATTCGATCCTCGAAAGTAGCATAAGCTGCGTGTAGCTCTAAAGTCAGTCGGTTGTGTTTACATCTAAAACCACAAGAAAATTTATTTTTTTGTTACATGAAAAAATCTTTACCTTACCTTCTAAATGTCTGAAATTGATGATTTTTTTAGCGATTTAAACAATCGATGGGCTGGAAAAAAGAGAGACAGATCACGCTCGCAACAGGTAATCCAATAGGAGAGCGTGATTTTATGCCCACTTTTTTGAGAATACTACCCACAATGCCGTGCGGTCGAGCCGGAAGCTCGGAACTCTTGATCCCTGTATTGGTCATGGGTTCGATCTCTTCACCACCCATGTCATCTGCTCCCACTGAAGTCTGCTGCCGTTGTGTCACTTAATCCCACTTTGCCTGAAGCCCCCACTGAAACACCAAGGCCATATCTTCTTTGAAGCAGCAGCCATCTTCCCGTGGACCCACCACCTGCAGGAGGATCAGCGAGGGGCCAGTGCTGTGAGATTTGGGTGGCTCAAGCTGTTTTAAGTTTTCAGTGTGGAACTGATGAAAAACAGTTATTTAGTTTATTCATCTGATTGCCACAAACCTGACTCAGAAATGGAATGATAAAGGGGATTGAGGGGGATTTCTAGACCCTAGTTAACTTCAAAGATGTAACCGTCTGGTAGGTGGTTTTTCGTTTCGTCTACCGGCTGCCACGGGAACATTGTTTAACATTACAATGATCTGGACATTGTGTCAGAAAATTGCTAATACATCATTTTGACCAACCATTGACCAAATATAGATTTAAATCTTTTAATGAGCAAAATGTACCCTGTCAACCCATGTTATCATAAACTCTGAATTTTCATAATTACAACTTTATATCTTGAGGCAGAACTCAACACAGCGTTGATGGAGAGTACTTTGTTGAATGCTTCCTCAGATGATAATAAGTATCTCCACAGTGCAGACCACTGCGTAGGGTTGTTTATCTCTTAGTGCCTGCTCCCTGGAAGTTGGAGAAAGTTTTATGAAACTTCACACATTATTTGAGGCACCACAACCGCACCAAACAGCAAACATAATGTGATCAGACAGACAGAAATTGATACGAAAAAATAAAAAGGCCAATCCATGTAATGATATAAATATAAATAAGTGTACAACCGTAATGTTTTGACTGTCTTGAGTCTGGTGTGTTTGTGTGAATGGTTGGTGTTGGTAGTGATGGACATGCTACCTCGCTTCTGTCTGTGCGCCCCAGGGCAGGTGTGGCTGCTGTAGTATATCACCAGTGTCCAAAAAAGCGTCATGTAAAACCAATAAATTATTATTATAAATGTACTCCCAATCAGTTGTTGCACTGAATGTATAGCATCAACCTGTCCAGGGACTGCAGGTGGAAACTACCATTTTTGCCAAAACCTGACATGAGACATATTTTCTGTTTATCGTGCGTTGTCAAATACATAACATTTTCAGCCTTACCTAAGCTTGTGTATAAAGGCAAACATCACTAAAAATATCCATTTACATTCTAACAACCTGAACTCATCCTTATATATAAGGATGCTTATGCTTCTCTAAATATAGGACACATTCCTGTATAGCTACAAGAGCACCTGACCCGGCGTCTCTGAGTACTAGCTTAGCGTCGCTGTTGCCACTAAATGCCCCTCCAGGGAGCCGCACAAAAGTTCTAATCATTCCTTTTTTTCCGCTCTGGCCGTTGTGATTCGGTCAGCCCGGTGCCTGGATGATAAATGGCTCTGCTTTGGTGGGACTAGCCTGGAGACTGGATGGGTCATTCGTGCTGCTGTCGGGCAAACCCACACTGTAGCTCCAGCCTCCCTCTCTTCATGTTTGGGAGGCGAACAGAGCGACCTAATAGGTGTATGTCACTGGGGTCAGAGCGAGGAGGAGACGGAACAGCTGTGGACCCAGGTTCATTAATATTGCACCGTATTATCGTCCGGGCTATTCTAGGTTCGGATTTTTCGGAGGACTGTTGCTATTATGAGATCCTAATAGTTATTTTCTGCTTAACTGTGTTCCCTTTATAATGTTCCAATCAATTCAATTCCATTTGCATTACATTTTTAGAGGTATATAGGAGGATATTCTACTTCCAGATGGATCATCAAGACTATTGTTCCTCCCAATGATCAATCATTCTGGTGATACATGCTCATCAAATAAGACCAGAGAGCGTTTTGTTCAAAAAGTGGAGAGATAGATAGCTACATATATATATAGATGGATAGAAATTTAAGACAGTGGTACTACAAAAACATACCTGGAGTTATACTCAGTTTCAGTATTGATGTTAACCAGATTTTTTATTTATATTTTCTCTTTTTGCTGTGATTTTGTATTCAGTTTATTTAATTGATTTGGGACAATGCACAAAAACACTTGAGTCTTTGTTAATTTCAATCACAAAAAATGTTAATCCGAGCCATTATCTGTTTACTATGTCAGTGTCACCAACCCGGAACTATTTTCTCTTTTTCCATTTGAGAAATTGCTGTGTATTGGCAGACATTCAAGTCTATTTGTATTATCTGAGATAACATAAAAGCAATTAATTTCCCCTGCCAAGCAAAGAACAACAAATCACAGCTAAGAAACATTCATGACTAAAAGTTGCCTGAGGATTTAAAATCATGAAGAGAATAGAGCAAATGTTATCCGTGTGGGCTCCAGGGGCAGTGGTGAATCCTCCGGTTCACAGTGCAGGGAATGTTTTCATCGACCAGAGAAATAAAAAACATAATTTGGTCTGAGAAAAATAATGGAAAATCAACTAGTTGTATTTTTCATCATTCAAAACTTTTAAAAGCTGGACGATGATGATATGAAAAAAGGGGTATATTTATCAAGGGGTTACGTGTTTACAAAAGGATTAGCATACACCGGTGTTTTAATTCCCCCTCGTAGTTTCGCACATTTACCCGAACATTTTTTATGCTTTACAGAAGAATCAAATGTTGCATTAATCTTACTTCACCCAAAAAAAAAATCTTGGTAAGATTTATTCACTAAAAATAACATAATATTACTTCATAATCTTCTTGGAGAAAAAGTCTGAGTAGTGCGTTTTTAAGTATTTTGTCTTATTTCCAGACAACTTTTCTTAATGTTTAGATAACAGAAGGATGTTTGGTTATCGTTTAACCCTAAAAATACTCCTCAAAAATGTAATAAGTAAAAATATTTACTTACTTGAATAGTAATAGTAATTTGGGCTAGTCTTATTTTCTAATTTTCAGAAATCTTGTCATTCATTCATTCATATATGAAAATATATATATATATATATTTTGTTCTTATTTTTTTCCGGTGCAGTTTTTCAGATTTCATTATGCTAGCATGTTTCAATCCATAAATCATGAGTCAAAATGTGACGTGCATGTATGTCACTTTGAAACTTTTGTCATTTACAGCTATCATCCTCGTCTAAGTTGGACTGTAATCGTACTATCATATATACAGTACTGCAGTTGGACAGCTACTGTACAACAAATATGTATGTTTTTACTTCTATATTGAAAATTCTCCCATTTCTAGAAATAGAAACCTCGTTGAATGTCATGCAACGGGGTAAACACGAAGCCTCTCTCAGTTATGGATTGGACTATTTCTGACTGGCCTTGTTTGCATGTTTCGCTTCCAGCACAAGTGCGATGAAAAAGGACATGTCATCTGTTGCCCTCTTCTTGACTCCGCTGCGACATGCTACAGTATTTTGATAACTCATTCAACATGGCCGCTAGCTGGAACGTGACTGAAGTCATTGGGTTTTGTACCAACACAATGCAGACCCCAGGCCGAGCGATGCGTGGGCCACCGAGCCCATGTGGGCCAAGTGCATCCATTGGAGAAAACTGAGAAAGATAAATATGAAAAAAGTAAAATACTGCTTGAAATAAGAAAAATGATCTGCCAACAGAACAAGAAAATATGAGTTGACTAAAATTCTGAAAAAAATCAAACTAGCCCCAAATGACCGGATTCTAGTATGAAAACTTACATTTCAAGTATTAATTTACTTATTTCTTTTATTTTTTTTCTATATATGTTTTTTTTTACCAAAACAAGAAAAGTTGTCTGTGATTAAGAAAAAATAAAGCTTAAAGTAGTACTAGAATTTAATATGCTGTTATCCAGAATATATAACTACAATATGTGTTTATAATATTTCGGGTGTTCATTTTGACATGTTCAGATGAATTATGTTAAAAAAAACGGCTTTGAAATGGCACCTTTTAACAAACGCTAGGGGGGGGCAAAATGGCGGCGATGACGTAGGAGAAGGACTAGTTCTACTTTTAAAAAACTCATGACAAACTACATTCAACTAAAAAAAATATTATTGCCATTACAAAATAAGCCAAATTTATGTTATTTTTATTAAAATAACTGATCCTCCTTCAGGTGGTGGGTCCACAGGATGATGGCTTCTCCGAGATCAAAGACAATGCCTTGGTCTTTCAGGCAATGTGGGGTTAAGTGTCTTGCCCAGGGACACCACTACAGCAGATATCAGTGGGAGCAGGTGACATGGGCCGTGGTGGGCTCGAACCCACGACTATTAGGTCCAAAGACCAACTGAGCTTCTGTCGCCCTGACTATTTAGTATAGCTGTATATCCATTACTACCTTGTGATGTCAAATGCCACACCAAGTTTGGACTCCAGAATCCAGACTTATGTGGAAGAGTTTAGTGTTCAAAGTTATAAGGAGGAAGTGGAAGTACAACATAATCAATACATTTTTATTTTTCTGGTGCCTAGATTTATGCACATGCCTAATTTGGTTTAATGATTCTTGCATCCTTTCTGTGAAGGATACAAACTTTATTTCATCTCTTTAAAAATATTGTGCTTGCCTGCTATCTGATATATTCAACTGAAATGTCTTATCCAAACAGCCATTGATTTGCATACCACTGTAACTTCTCCTTCTGAATGCATTTATCTTATCACTCCATTTTACATAATTTCTTCAATTCTAAAGTGTCTGTGTAAAATGGATTCTTCCAGAACCCAGTAGTCAGATTGCAGTGGGGCCTCTGTTATGTGCTGTTTGGGGGCAGTTGCGGCATGCCTTCATTCCCCTGCTATATATTATTCATTTTAATACAGTTGAGCCATAAAACGGTATATGCGCAGAGGCGAATGCGGCACACAATCTCTCCCTTCCAGTCTGCCGAGGTGAAATAGGAAGCGGGATCTGGTAATGTAGTGCTTAGCCGAGGTTGATTCGCGAACGGCCGAGGGAGATATACTCGGTTATTGTATTTCCCAAGTGCTAACTAATATTGTGTCCTCACACCATCTCTTCTCTTCTTTTTCTTCGTAATTTAGGAACCATCATGACTGCGGTGGCAGATCTGGACCGGGAAACTCAAGATCGCTATGAGCTGGTCGTCAAGGCAACAGACATGGCAGGACAACTGGGAGGGCTCTCGGGCTCCACCACAGTGACCATAGTGATCACCGACGTCAATGACAACCCACCGCGCTTTCCGCAGAGTGAGTTTTCAGTCTGTGCGTTGTATAAAAGAGATACTGTACCTGAATGAAAAAAGAAAAGCTAACTCAATCTGTTATGGTTCAAGGATGAAGGCAGGGGAATGAGGGACACAGGTTCTGAGGTGGTCCATGGAGTCCCACACTCCTCCCATCGACATCTGCAGATTATATAAAAGCCAAAAAAGATAGAAAGATAGATGGATAGATAGATACATCATTGAACCCTTGTGGGAGAAATCCAGGTGTCCAGGAGCAACCAATACACATCTATTCATACAAACAAAACAAATAAATAGATAATTCAAAAAATTGCTAACAATATTATGAACCCTTTAACATTCACTCCTTGAAAAAAACAATGTTATTTTTACTTTTTGGATTGTCTAAGCTGATGGAGCACTAATAGCACAATTTGTTTTTTAAACTTATTTTTTGTTTTTGGATTAAAGGCCTTTACCAAATGGTTGAGATGCAATTTGACTGTAAAAGTGCCTAAAAACGAAAGTGAGATAGACAGACAGAAACACAGACACTTTATTGATCCCCGTAGGAGAAATTCAGAAATAAAAATAAAATAAAAAATTGATAAAATGTATTGTTCTAAAAAGCTAATAATAGTATTAATCAGCCACAGGCGTTCAGATCACAGTGGTCTCTGGGTGGAGCAGGACGGGTCACTGTAGCAGAGATGACCCATTGATTCAAAAGATGATCTACCAAATGGTTTCGGAAACTATTAAAGGGTTAAAATGCAACAGCACTTTAGGTCACGGCAGCAGAGGTGGAGTAGCCGCTTGGTTCGGACTATTTTCTCTACTCTGGTCCAAAAGGGAATTTCTGCTTGATCCACTTGATTGGGACCACGAATCCTCTTGGCTCCCGTCTGGACCAGTGCAAAACCATGAACACTGTACTGCAGCAACATTTACAGGTTGAAAAAGAGCAAGAAAAATATAACAATTGTAAAGCACAGAACACAAAATGTTCCAGAGCTACTTTGGACTTTCCAGCCCTTTTCACAAGTCAAAAGGTCACTTCCATTACCACCAAACAAAGAAAAGAGAAGAACCGATTAAACCGCATTAAAGTGTTTTCACTGCAAAATGTTCCTTTCAACGACAGAACTTTCTACAACATGCTACCTTATTTAAGACGAACACTATTGAAGCCGGCCTCAGAAAAAACCCCACCAAAGTTCACAGACCGTTTAATGGCATTTCATTCATCAAAAAGATGCGACAAAACATCTCGTGAAGAACGTTTGCAACCCAAGGGCCGACCCAGAGACCCACGGGGCAAGCAACGACAGACATAAACAGCAGTAGATAAAAGCAAAAAGTTGTAGACGCGCAGCTTATAATGAGGGAAGACATCCACACACAGTGAAGAGATAAAAGATGCACAATATTGTTTTCAACCTGCAGGCCACCGACACCAATAAACCACGGTGGCATCAACTGTAAAGCAACTTCCGTGCGTTGCCCGACTTTCAATTTATGACACGGTCTCTACGACGGCAAACAACAACAAAAACAGTCTTTCAAAAGTTTAGATGCGATGCCTTTCAGAGTACAACAGATATTTTTTTCTCTCTTTGGACTTGCTTGATTTTTTTATATTATGAATTGATCGCACTGTTTTATTGTTCAGAACTTTGCTTTAAATTGAAATGCAACAGACGTAGTTTCTTTTGTAGACGTGGGGATTACATGTTAACCCTTCAGGCGCCAGAGGTGGTTTCATAGATATTTAAGGTTATATGTAAAATAGATCAATTATAAGGATGGCCCAAAGTTTATGTAGTTTATGGGCAGTGGATAGGACTCCTGGGTTTGAATCCCGGAACAGGTCCTTTCTGAGTGGAGTTTGCATGTTCTCCCCGTGTCTGTGTTGGTTTCCTCCAAGTGCTCCGGTTTTCCGCTACCACTAAAAACATAAACAATAGCCACCCAAGATTCCACCCTTGTCTCACAGCACCAGTCCCTCGCTGATCCTCCTGCAGGTGGTGTGTGTCCACGGGATGATGGCTTCTCCGTAATCGACGAGATGGCCTTGGTCTTTCAGCGGGGGCTTTGGGCATTGCGGGGTTATGTGTCTTGCCCAGGGACACAACGACATCAGTGGGAGCAGGAGACATGGGTCGTGGCAGTTTCAAACCCACGACCATTAGGTCCAAAGACAAATGCTCCTCCAACTGAGCCACTGTCGCCCCCCTTAATGTGTTTAAGACTTCAAATGGTCATAGGGGCGACAGTGGCTCAGTTGGTGGAGCATTTGTCTTTGGACCTAATGGTTGTTGGTTCGAACCCACCATGATCCATGTCATCTGCTCCCACTGCTACTGCTGTTGTGTCCTTGGGCAAGACACTTAACCCCACTTTGAGTCACCAGCGAGGGACTGGTGCATTGTGAATTGGATGGCAGCTCTGTTTACCACCACCCCAACCCAAAAATGGATAAATATATGAAATGATTAAATGACTTCATATGGCAGTGGCAATCATGGTTTTTCATGAAATACGTATAATCGTTTTTTTTACTGACAGACACAAAAACTAGGACATGAGCACGCAAACAGAACTCACATTGTAAAGTACTCAAGGGTCAAGGAAATAGTAAAAGAGTGCAAACCATGTATGGCAGGAGTTTAAATGAATTTTGACTCCATTCTTGACTCGATCGGTCGTTTTAAACAGTCCCGCTGTTCATTGTCAACTACAGTCGACCGTGGCGCTGCTTAGACATCAGTACGAGTGACAGAAAAGGCACAACAACATGTGGTTTTACAGACAGAGAAGTTAAGTTTGATTCTCTGCTTTCATTCTGTGGCGAATGAGAAAGCCTGATCCCGTCAGACTACTGATGCTAAGCAGGGCAAGACCTGGTAAGTGCTCTGACAGAAACCATTGGGAACAGCAAGTGCCACAGTGGGAGGGCTTTAAACTATTGTTGTGTCCTTAGGCAACACACTTCACCCACATGCACGAGGATGAGTGTGGTGTGTGTGAACGATTGGTGGTGGTCTGAAAGGCTAAAGGCACATCTGAAAACACTGTATATTCTCTGACCTCAAATTAGCTTTGGCCAAAACAGAGCTTGTGTAATTAAAGATAAAAACTTTGCAGATAATAAAAAAAATCAGCTCTTGATTTCATATATTAAAGAGATTACTTAATTAAGAAACCAAAAATGCTTTTCTTCTTACTGTTCTTATCTTATGTTGATGGTCATATAGTACAGTTTTTTGTAAATCCTTATGTATGAATGCACTATTTTGTTTTTGGCAATTGCAACATATTAGAATCACGTAAAATATTGGTATGAATTTTTTACTAACGTTGTGCGTTTTTACTAACTTACGTTATTTTTATTTTTTTTACTTCATCTTATTAGAGAAAACAGTCTGAGCAGTGAGTTTTTAAGTATTCTTTCTTATTTTTGGACTACTTTTCTTGTTGTTTTCATAATAAATCGGTTTTTATATTGTTTTGGGACACTCAAAGACGCTTTACATGTTGATATTCATTTTAGATAAAATAAGTATGTTAGGTTATATGTTAAGAAAACATTTCTCAAAAATGTTTAAGAAATATATAAATAATACTTGAAATGTATGTTTTTATACTAGAATCAAATCATTTGGGGCTAGAATTTGAGTATTTTCTTATTATCTAATCTTGTCAAGTCATAAATAACGGCAGATCATTTTCCTTATTTTAACCCTTTAGGCGCCAGAGTTCTTTCAAGAAAATATACAATTTTGTTTTCAAGATTTCAAAAGGCTAGAACTTTAAAATGGTTTGAGATAAAGGCGTACTGTAAATTAGAAATATCTTCAGTTTGAACCAAACTTTTGGGATGGAAGTTGATTCGTCATCTAATTTGCATATTGTGACGTCATCAAGGTGGCGGCCATTTTATTTTAAGCAGTATTCCACATTTTTTTCAAGGGATTTTTTCCATTGTTCAGAGCCCACATGAAGCCCTGATCCCTCTGTATATGACCAACCCATAAACACAAGGTCTTTATGAGATCAGTGAAATGTGCCAAAACCATCATTTCAGTTTTCAGCAGCATTGTTTCCCTCATTAGTGACTTCAAAACAACAGGTTTTTATCTTTGAAAATAAACTAAAACTGAATATGTTAACTTCACTAAACAAAGCTGATTCCCACACAAAATAAATGGCTGCCGCGGCAACACATTGCACTACAATTACCTTAACAAATGTACTTTCTTATCATGATAATAGACTTGTTGCACATTAGCATTCCAGCAATTCCCCACAAGCAGCAAAAGTTGTTTTTTTATCTTAATAAAACCATTTGCATGATGAATACCTCGGAGCAATTTGCTTGAAAATAAAATAGTGTTTTCCCTCTTTAGAGACGTTCGCCACTTAATTCCATCCACTTTCTTGTCTTTAAGTTGTTCTAAGTCTTTAAACCATAACACTATTACTTTTGTTACAGATGGGAGAGGTGTGCTGACAGTCGGCTGATTGTATTTGATACGTCTCCGCACACATAGCTGCATCTCGCTGTAAATCCTTTTTCTCATCTCGCTGAATCATATTTACTCAGTCAGAGAAGAAACTGCCGGATTAGAGTGCACTGGAGACCCTCAGATAAAAGAACATACAGTATACAACACACATGTATGTAGTATGTGTATAGTATATAGTATTTGCAATGTTAGCTAAGTCACTTTGAAAATGCAACCTAAAGAAAATAGGTTTCACTGCTTAGTTTCAAGAAAATAACCTTATGACATTGATGCTCTGTATTCACACACGTATTTGGCGCAAAGCATCATGGGAGCTCGTCAGAACCGGGAGGACCAGACATTTCCCAAACGTGGTCGAGTTCCACTAATTTTTTGGTCCCCATGCAGGTCCCGTGGGCTACTGAGTAAGTTATCTGAGTAGGGCGCCATCTTGGATCAACGGGGCTTGATCCACATCCAAATGCTCCATGTGTTTTCATGTTTAAGCTGTTTGAGATAGTAAACATATGACTTGCATGAAAAACTTGGTCTATAACTATGCACAGCAGCAATCTATCAAAGTTATTTAAATGTACTCACGCCAAAAAACTTGTTTTCCAAAGAGACATGATTCATTTTTTTACATTTCAAGTATGAAATTTGTTTCATTACCAAAAGATCAGTGGGACTAGTTTGCCTTCTTGGCCTGCATATGTTGGCATGACTCCTGGTATAACTCCTTCCACTAACTTTTTCTTTGACATTCAACAGAGATGTACCAATTCACGGTGTCCGAGGGCGCGGCGGTGGGCACTCCGGTGGGACAGGTGATGGCAACAGACGCTGACATGGGCGAAAACACCGACATGACCTATCTGATCAAAGAGGGCGGAGATCTCTTCAAAGTGACCACCAACGTAGAGACTCAAGAGGCTGTGGTGTCCATTAAAAAGGTGTGTGCGTGTTATTTTTATTTATCTTTTATTATTTTTGACCAAAATCTTCCCAACATGAAACCTCAGACACGATTTTCTCAAAGACGCTCAAAACTCAAAATATTCTGACACCTGTCACGAACAGCATTTCCCAGCAATAAATCAATAATATGTTTTTCTCAGAGTTTGAAGGAGGCGTAACTGTTGAAACCTATAGATTTTTTTGCGTGTGTGTGTGTAACGGACTGGACATGGAGTTTCCAGTTTTCATTTGGTTCTGTTGATCGGCGTGCGGTCAGTTATTTTGGCAGGAGCTGTCAGAGCTGCTCTTAAAGGGGCGGTACTGGTTCATCCACCTGTCACACAATCTTTCTACCGGCATAGATGGCAGCGGGATTAGCATACGCCACAAACAACAACATCCAAGATATTATCATTCCCCTCCATATTCACAGAGACGTTCGAAGAGCCTGCGAGGAACAGGACGCAGCGTGTAATTAAGTCTGCTAGCTCAATGGCCAAATTAGCCTTTACAAGTTTTTAAATGTGACTCAAATAGAAGATTCAGACAACGGCAACAACATCGTCTAGTCTGGAGTCCAAACACTAAATAGTAAAGACGTAGAGACCGTATCAGTGGTGTTAAATGTTATATTCAAAACAGAATTGTACCCATTTGTAAATAGCACTGAGTTTGTGTGTGTTAATGATTTAAACAGTGTATATAGGTAAGTTTTTAAGATAATATCCAAAATGTTAATGTAGTTTAGAAAGGCCCAACCTGGACTGGAGTTGAAAATTAGCAATAGCTATAAACATTATTTGCATCGCATCAGTTACAAGCTTGTTTTGTTCTATGTTGACTTGCAATGTCCCTGTTAAATTAATAAAAAATCAAAATAAAAATGTTTAGTGTATGTCAGGGTTTAGTGAACATTTACATCTATGCAAAAGTATTCTTAATGTCCACACAGTATCTACAGTATTATTCATCTCGATTTTTCAATTCAATTTATGTTTTTGTTCACGATTGGTCCGTAGGGGATGGATGACCAATGTCCATAAATGTTAATAAATGTCCATAAATGTCCCGGATCATCACCACTGTCCTTTTAGATGTTGATCTCACACGATATTTAATAAACAAATAGATTTACTAATTTGAATCCTGGATATTTTTGGCTACATTTTTGGTAATTTAGAAGTATGCACCGAACTGCTGTTTATCCACACACATGTATCTTCATTGTTATGCAAAATTATGAAACTGGGACTGTAAAGGTATTGTTCAATAATAATGAAAGGTTGTTTTGAGTGAGATGTTGTGCCCTCTCCAGGCGGGTAGAGAGGTCCTTTCTTTGAGTGGAAGAGCTCAAGTATCTCAGGGTCTTGTTCAGGAGTGAGAGAAGGAAGTGTGTGAGATTGCAGTGATCGAAAGGACGCTTTTTCTTTCAAAACAACATAAACACTGTAGACCACTGAAATTGTATGTTGATAGGGCTTATTTTACATTTAGGGGCCATGCTTTTGTACTTGTATTCAAAACACATGGATCCATTCCTGTTGTGTTATCACCTTATGCTGATGCTCATTTTGTTGGTCATGCAAAGAAACCAACTTCAGTGGTTTTCATGATTACGTCATCTCTGTAGTTCTGCGCACTTAACTAAATTGTTTCAGTGGGAGATAAATATAATGTGTCCACTCAAATGGTCTCTTTTCAACGATATGAGTGTAATGAAAGCTGCATGTACGACCTTCTCTCAGCCTCTGGACTTTGAGTCGAAGCGGACGCACAACGTTGTAGTGGAGGCGGTGAACAAGCATGTGGACCCTCGCTTCAGGGACCTGGGCTCGTTCCGAGATCAGACCATCGTGCGAGTGAGCGTGACAGACATCGATGAGCCTCCCGCCTTCCAGCCAGCAGAGGTCACTGTGCTGGAGGTGCAAGAGGACGCCAAGGTGGGGGCGCTGGTGGGAGTGGTCAGCGCTCGAGACCCGGATGTGGTGAACAAGCCTGTCAGGTATGCAGCAGATCCATTCATATCAATCACAGGAGGCAAGACACAGTAGTTTTGGGTTAAAGTCATTCATTCAAAGTCATCCTTTTTATTAGTCCATTTCTGGGTGGGGGGGACACTTAATCCTCAGAGCACCAGCCCCTCCTGATCCCCTTGCAGGTGGTGGGTCCACAGGAAGATGGCTGCTCCGTCAACAAAGACACAGTCTTGGTTTTTCAGCCGGGGCTTCAGGCAAAGTGGGGTTAAGTGTCTTCAGTGGTCAGTTGTTTACGGTCAAAGTCACTTCTATGAAATGTGTAAATACCAAAGGAAGACGCTCTCCAGAATGTTTGTGATAAGCAGATATCTTATGTTAATATGAACTGGCTTCAGCAGAGCTGTGTCCTTACAGGAGCTGCTCTGTGTGAGAGGGGAATGTAGATAAGGGCCGCTGCTCTCCCTGACCAAGTGCAGTCCGACACACGCAGCCCGCTGCAAATTACCCTTATTAAAAATGCATGAGGCCCAGCTGCAGGTGTAATAAACTATGGACTATGGCAGCGCTGTCGCTCACTGTTGGAGCAGCCGAGAGCCTGGAGCACGAGGCAGCGGCTGCTGTATGTGCTCAGTCAAGGGTCCAAAGTTCAAAGATTTATCGAAAGATATTATCCAAGACATCCTTCATGTTTCCACTTTGTGTTATAATTATGCATTATAATTGAGATAAATAAAGAAGCTATCTTCCTCATCACTGCACATTAGTTGTTTTTGCCTTAAGTCTTGTTTTTTATCAATCCAAACAGCCATTTTCATAGTTTTATATTTTTATCAACAAAAATGTAATTTCAAGGCATAATTTAATCATTGTATAATTTAATATTGTTTATCAGTTCCACAAAATTGGAGTCCAACGAGTCTTTTTCAATTTAAGAAATTTTCAAAAGAAATTAAAAAGTTTGCAAAACTCGGCTAACAAATAAGATACACCAGAAGCTCAATCTATGTTTTCTTTTCTCACCTGTCAATTATTTTCACCAAAATGATTTATTTTGTCTCACTGCGACTCAATTGAGAGGTAATTCTTCTGCTAAGTCTGAAGTTTAATTTCAGACTGCGAGGAACAAAGTAAACTGTAAATGTAAAGATGTTTCCACGTTTTCTAGTCCTTATTTTCCAATAAGATCAAAGTTATACAACACATTTGTTTTTGTGATAAACAAAAGAACTTGATGGCACATTTGTATTATTAGAAAACATGTTGATTTAAAAGAAAGACTGATGAATTCTCTACAAACTGTTTCATGACATCACTTCTGGACCAGCACTTTGTCACGTCCACCACATTCACAGGAAGCACGGGTCTGTGGCACCTGGTTTTACAGTGTCACGTCGTTCTGACCCCAAAGAAGTTAGTTCTGCTTACTCTCTAAATGTGTCTTATTTGATGAACCACGTGTTCTCTTGTGAGTGTTATTGAAAGAGGGTCATCAATAGTTGATCTTTTTATATAATACATGTAAATTAAGAGTTTTTTAAACATAAAAAAACAGAAACTGGCTTTGAAATATTTTTGTATTTAGATATATAAATAGATAGATAGATACTCTGTTGATCCCCGTAGGAGAAATGCAAGTGTCCAGTAGCAACAAAAATAAAAAACTAAATTGATCATTCTAAAAAGCTAACAATAGTGATAATCAGCAACAGCCTCAGGTCACAGCAGCAGAGGTGGAGCAGCCTCTGGGTGGAGCAGCCTCTGGGTGGAGCAGGACGGGTCACAGCAGCAGAGGTGGAGCAGTCTCTGGGTGGAGCAGGACGGGTCACAGCAGCAGAGGTGGAGTAGCCTCTGGGTGGAGCAGGACGGGTCACAGCAGCAGAGGTGGAGCAGTCTCTGGGTGGAGCAGGATGGGTCACAAAGTGGAGTAGCTGCTTGGTTCGGACCATTTTTTCTGCTCTGGTCCAAAGTGAAAAGCTAAAAGCTTCATTAGAATTTTTCAAAAAGTTAGCATTCCTCCAGTGGATTTTCACCTGATCCACTTGGTTCGGACCATAAATCCTCTCTGCTCTGGTCTGGACCAGTGTAAAACCATAAATCCTCTCTGCTCTGGTCTGGACCAGTGTAAAACCATGAATCCTCTCTGCTCTGGTCTGGACCAGTGTAAAACCATGAACACTGTACTGCAGCAACATCTCAGGTAGAAAAAAGCAATAAAAATAACAATTGTAAAGCACAAAATAACAATTGTTTCAGAGCTACTTAGGACTTTTTGCCGTTGCGCATTCAAAAGTAAACAATATTTCTATGATGTTTAAAGAAACAATTATTATTACCTTTATATTTTCACCTTGAATATCATCAAGTGGCTTCTGTAATAATGTTTTCAAACTAACTACGCGTTTAATTCTGCTTTCCAACCATGTTTTACAAGAGCTCTCCTAACCATCTCCTCCAACCGTGCTTGGTCACTCAGGACTTTTTGAATGACAAAATAAAACAGATGTAATCACATAAAAACTGCCAACAAGAGTGATTTGTTGCATGTGAAGGCTTCGCTGGCTAAAGCATTATTTGGCAGCCGTTTGAGGTACTTGTCAAAAGATTCTCAGTGAGTTGAACATTTTATTGTCACTTTTAGAGGACACATTATCTGCTGCACTGCAGTGGTGTGGAGAACAGCACCATCTGTGCAGGTGGTGTTGGCCATGTTGTGTTGTGTTTAAAATGAGAAATTAAATAGGGAAGCAACATTGCGCCGGCATTTATCTGTGAAAAATTGTTAAGGGACGGAAAATTCCCAACTCACAATATAGTCTTGTGGAAAAAATGTGACACTTGCAAAACACCCACAGTGTAACAATAAATAATGATTCTGGTTTTTGTTTATGCGTTTGTCAATACACAATTTAAATGTAAAATAATATGGAGTTTGCGCATCACGAATACTGAATACTTTTTATGTAGAACATCCAAATATGTTTGGATAAATTATGTATATTTTGTTATATTTGTTTTGTTTGTTTCCCTGCAGTTGACTTAGCAGATAATCTATTTCATATGCAAAGTCAATATACTCAGCTGTAAAACGACCACAGTGCAGCAGACCGGGGTCTTCGAATCTCTGTCGTTTTTCTGTCTTCCTCAGCTTTATGATGGGGAATATTCTTCTTGTTCTTAGTTCTAAGCTAAATGATATAGATAGATGGATAGATACTTTATTGATCCCTGAAGGAGAAATGCAGGTGTCCAATAGCAGCAGAAAACATCCATCCAAACAAACAAAACAAATAAATTGATCATTCTTAAAGTAGTTCACTTAAAAGGCAACAGCACTTTATGTCACAGAGGTGGAGCAGCCGCTTGGTTCGGACCATTTTATTTACTCTGGTTCAGAGTGAGATGCTGAATGCCTCATTAGCATTTTTCAAAACGTTTTTGACTGATCCGCTTGGTTTGGACCATGAATCCTCTCCGCTCAGGTCTAGACCTGTGCAAAACCATGATCACTGTACTGCAGCAACATCTCAGGCTGAAAAAAGCAAAGAAAAATCACATTTGTAAAACACAAAACAACAACTGCTTCAGAGCTACTCAGGACTCGTTGCCGTTTCCAGTGCACGCAAAAGTATTAGATATTAAAAAATATAACTGCAGAAGTAAACGTAGCTAAATCTATAACACAATACTGTCAACTTTTTCCATTTCAAAGCTTTGTAAAACTCTGTACCAACACCATGCATTTCACCACTTGATGCTGCCATTTCAGGGAAGTACAAAAGGAAAAGAAAAAACTTGCTCGGCACCTGTCTATATCATTTTAAAAACTGAATCCTACAAGACACTGCACTTTATATCTGGAATCGTCCCCTGGGCTTGGAGCAGACGGAAGAACAAAAGCATAGCAGACATGGGGGAAGTGTTGTAGCCTCGTGGGAGCTGTACGTTAGCTTTTCTCTCTTCACAACAATAACCAGTGAAACACATGGGTATATAGACTGTCTGTAAACCCATACGTCCTCTCTTCCACTCGATCTCTCTCTCATGCATGAACCCTTTTGAAAACATTGCCTTTATCTACAACTATCTCAGCAGGCCACTTCATTGACTGTCAACAACGTATGATATGACAATACCCCAGACTCCTAATTAACACATTACATTTCCATTAGCAAGGAATTATCAAAGTCTCACACTTGGGTGTCAAAAGCGTGTGGTTGTGCATCAGTGGCGGCTGGTGGAATTTTCTACTGGGGGGGCTATGAATATGATGACTAGATATATACCAGCAGTAAGTAAGTTTACACTGACTGTTGTGACTGAAGCCTCACACGAGAATGAAATATTTATCTTCCCAAACATAGCTAATTTGAGGGCATTTTGCATGTGGATACCAGTCTGCTCATGCTTCTTTGCCTTTTCTAAAAAGTGCTTCAGATCAGTCATACCTGTCTTGATCCATGCTGGGTCAGATCCTGATGTTTGAAACAAGAGGCATGGAAAGCAAAATAAAGCATTAGCCTCGCTACATGCTGCTAGCCAAGATTTGGCGCTGAACCAGGTCCTGGAAAAAGTACGAGTGTACCGTCTCCCCCTGTCGCTGGACTGCTGACTAATGGTAATATTTGGCTGATCAGGTCCAAGCTCTTCAACCTCAACCTTCTCCTGGTATGATCTTCTCTCAAACGGTATTGTTTTGAGTGATCTAACTGAATTATTCTTTTTCTCGTTCTCCATTTTGCGTCTCTTTACGTTCGTCTCAAACTCCCACTCCCACAGCTTGACCTGTCAATCACTGTAAACGGACGTCACAGACAGTGACAGTACAGGTCGCGGGCGATCCCGCCCCCTCAGGGCGCACTTCTCCTGCGCCCCCAAATCGTCTTATCTCTTGCATTGAAGAGGAGCTACTGCGCATGTACAACTTTTAACGAGAGTCCATAGACGGCTCAGGGCGCAATCTTTTGCGCCCTGAGGCGGAAATACGTCCTCAGTCCGACACAGACAACGCTGATGAGCTTAATCAATCCAACTCAGCATAAACTATAAAGTATTTCTTCCACATCTGAAATAAAACGCACATAAATTTCGAAATATTTTAATGTTATTATTTGTTTTAACGTTTTATTCAAGGTAACATGGCAAGTTGTGAGTGGTGGGGCGGCGCCCTAGCGCCCTCTATTGGCCGGCCGCCACTGTTGTGCATGTATATATCGTGTTGACGGTAAAAAGTCAGCGGAATCCTTTTTTACCGTTTTGTCAGCATAAACAGGACTAAAAAGATCAAAGAAAACAGACTCTGGAGTCAATAGTGAGTGTCAAACAGGTCCATTCAGCATGAACTATTTTCACTGGAGAAAATCCCTTAAGAGAAAATAAGAAAAACATGTAAAAAAAACATAATAATACCGGTTTTATATAGCACTTTTTTGGACACTCAAAGACGCTTTACATGTCATTTTTCATTCACTCCATACACGGTGGTGATAAACTACTACTGTAGCCTCAGCTGCCCTGGGGCACACAGGCAACCAAAATATGCCCTCCGACCACCACCAACCATTCACACACACACACCAGACTCATTCTAGGCAATGTGGGTGAAGTGTCTTGTCTAAGAACACAACGGCAGTTAGGCACTTTACAGCCACAGCCGCCCCACTGTGGCATCAGGTGTTCCCAGAGGTTAAGTGTCTTGCCCAAGGACACAACGACAGCAGACAGTGGGAGTTGATGGTGAAAGTTCTAAGGTCGGGCTCGAACCCACAACCCTCTGGCTCAAAGGCCAATGCTCTACCAACTGGGCTACTGTCGCCCCTATAAATACAATTCATTATTTAATCTAAATTGGATGGCTTCACATTCATCCATTCAAATATAAGATAGAGTTTATATAAAATAGACAATTATAAAAAATGCACAGACCATCACAACTATATAAGCAATTATTGAAAGAATGGATTTTTTGCAGTGACATTACTACATCATAAATTATTATTGTGTGCCATGACCTAAACCCTCTCTTTTCTCTCTGCAGGTTTTCCATCGATCGCAGCACAGACCAGGAGATGATCTTTCACATTGATCCGGACACAGGGGCCCTCACGCTGGGAAAGATCCTGGACCGGGAGACCGCGGGCTGGCATAACATCACAGTCAAGGCCGTGGAAGCAGGTACAAGGCTTTACTGTGTAATTATATGTATCGTTTCTTCAAATATTGACAATTTTAGGTATGCGATAGGTTTTGTAGTCATTTATTTTAGGTTATGTGTGCGATAGTTGATCCGGCAATGGTGTTTTGTAAGCACTCAATCATAGTTTTTTTATGATATTTCACAAATCCACTCTCTTCTGGTCAGCTCAGGCCAATGCTGCTCTGACCTATAAGAAAGGTCAGAGCAGACTGAGGTTCTTTGATGCACATATTTTACCAGGCTGTTGTAGCTATTGCCGTGTTTTGGGGGCAGTCTGACCTCAAAAGACAGTAACCGGCTCGACAGGAAATTTGAGGGGAGAAGTGTGGACTCTGCACAGACACCCTCTGCAGACACCCTCTGCATAACACTATGGCCGCTCAGAGGAGTAATCGAAGCAACAGGCTCCTATCACTACGCTGCCGAATGGAACCTTTTAAGAAATGCTTTGTTTCCTTTGGCTGGCAGACTGTACAACAAACACGGATGAGTTTTCTGCTGCTGGACACCAGCATTTCTCCTCCAGAGGATCAATAAAGTATCCATCTATCTTTCTATCTATCTATCTATATATCCAAGTGCTTTACAATTTTGGTGTGTTTTAGTCTTCTATTCACTCCACACACAACTATGACAGACGTGATATTCCTTACCACATATTCACTCGCTCAGCACATTCAAACCAAAATTGTACGTTATGTTTGTGGTGGTGTAAACTGAAGCCTCCTGGCAGACGGAGAGCTCTAACTGCTGTGTCTCAAAGATTTTCCTCAAAGAAAGAAAGCTTTTACTTGACTAGCACAGGACTCCTGACTTTCAAGTGAGCTGCCAGGTTGTCCACCTGAACAGATTGCTCTTTCACATGAGAAATAGTGAAATATGTAAAAAACTACTGTTTAAAATATTAGATAATAGATAAACTAATACTACGAATCAGGCTGAAATGTTATTCGTGGATTGGTTGTAAGTTTGGTCAAAAAACACATGTCCTTACTGTTAGTAGATGAGCATGTCCAAAACTAGCCTGGCCTAAACCATCGCTAAACTCTGCTCCATGATCATGTCCTACATGTACGTCTGGGTCTGAGCTTATTGGCTGCAGTTTCCTCGGTAGATTCCCCTCTGACCATTCAGCGAGTGGGGGAGGCGGGTGTTGTAGGGAGGTGTCGGTGACGTTAAGAGTTTGCTCTGACTTTACTGGTTGTAGTTTGGCAATGGCTACAAATGTGATAGTAAAGTAATCTGTTCTGGTTTGACTCCAAATGTTAGACATTGAGGCCGGAGCAAGAGGAATGTTTAGCAAATGTCATTGCTGCAAAGATGCTGTGGCACTACTCCCCCACGGGCTCCGTTAGCGGCAAAGGAGATGACTAAAGCTAGGCTAAATGCTAAATGCCCCACCCACTCTGGTGCATTACGTACATCACAGTAAACTCAGATCCAATCGTTTCCACGGACTAAATCCAGACCTTAGCACAAAATGAAAATAGTTTGATGGTTTGGTAAGTAATCTTAGCCACAGGCTTATATCACCGCGCTGCCGGACGGAATGTTTCAAGAGATCCTTTGTTCCTTTTGCTGTCAGACTGTACAACAGACTTGAATGAGTCTTCTGCTGCTGGACCCCTGAGTTTCTCCAAAAAGTATCCATCTAAGAGATAAGATAAGATATGCTTTATTTATCTCACAAGGAGAAATGTACATGTCACGTTTGGACCAAGACCAAGCTAGTCCAAAACAGTACTTGTTCTAAAGTCTCATCCTGCTTGTTTCCAAGAAAATATGTGTATGTTTTTGTTTCAGCGTGTGGCATGGCAAGTATAAAACCAATATAATTTAGTTAGCTAGCTTCTGTTAGCACAAGTTCGTAGTTAATTGTTAACGCTGGTTCAGCCACGGTTTCTCCTTCGATGAAAAATGGACCACAAATTCTGCTTAGATATATAAAAAAAGGTTTAATATATAAAAGACAGAATATAAGATACAGACAAGTGGCAGACTGCTTGATCCAGTCCGGGTCCTCTCCCTTGCACACCCAAAGCAAAAAGACACTACTTCAAGACAGGCTATCGATGAAAAGCACACAGTCACATGACCTGATAATTGAAAACACATGTCTCACCATCCTTAGGTGAACACAATAGCTCCTTTCTCCAAAACACACAGTAGCCCCTCTCAAAGTAAGCCTGAGGCTATAACAGATGTTTTCTGGTCCTCTTAATTTAACTTCCTGTGTATAATAGCTGGGGGTGGGTTGGTTCCACACATTCTTCACCCTGCCTGGATCAATACTACTAGTCTAACGTTACATTTATTAATATGATAATAACACAATAACATACTCCATTGACATAATTCCCCCCTATTCATAATATATAAATGTAAAGTTTTAACATCCAGCATTACATCTCTTCTCAGTTTTCTGCAATACCTTCATAACAAACTTACACAGAAATATCAAAATCATCATTTACATTTGTGTGAGCTAACAACGCTTGACATTGATCCGAAAACAATGTGTCTGCAACTGCAGTGTTTATCATCCTGTTGGTTAAAGACTTCGCACATGGCAACAAACAAGTGACAAATATGCAAAATAAAACCAAAATCATTATTGCAGGTGTCGCTATTTTCAATATCAGTTGCCACCATGCTCCAGTAGAAAACCATGACAATAAGTCCCAATTCATGTTGTCATTGTCTCGCTCACTTAGCATCTCAGTTTTAAGACTTTTTAATCGATCCAAAATTAGTGAATAATTTGAGTTGGATGATGGAATGAACGTACAACAATGATCCTTAATTAACTGACACACACCACCAGTTTCAGATAAAACAAAATCTAATGCCACTCGATTCTGCATGATCATTTGACGCATAGCCTCTTTCTCTGGATCCCCCCTGATTTGTTCAGTGAGGTCCATGACAATATTAGTCAAATTCTCCAAATTCCATGCAATATCATTCATCCTATGACTTAAATATGCAACTCCATACATGGGAAGGGCTGTCATGAACACTCCTCTTACATCTGAGATTAAAGGTGGGCTTCTGGCCGCTGTGGCAGCAGCCCTTTTCTGCCTCTGGCCCAAGTGCTGTGTCAAGTTATCACTTGAAATGATATAGGAGGCCGGACCTAGGGTGGCCAGATGACAAGTTCCACACCATCTCTCTGGAAGCCACAGATACACTTTATCTCCACAAACCCACACCTGGTTTGACGGGCATGGATAGCCCCAAAACCCCGGGACCTCCACCAAAAAAGCTGGGTGTGAGTGCCAGTTGGCCACTCCACTGACCTCACCCACTTTAGTGAAATTAATCACTGGGAACTCCCGTGCGGTCGGAGTAGTAGTGAAGTATAATCTGTGATGTATCTCAGAGGTTTGTTGGTTATATGTGGCAATAGGCAGAACATCATCACAGGTGGATGTTCCTACATATTGGTTAGCATCCTCCCAGGGCCCCGGCACATTGCATTTCCTACTCAGACACAGAGGAGAATTGGCTGGAAATCGAGCCACAGTCACACCTTTCTCATTAGTCATATTTGTACTTAAAGAAAAGTTCAATGGAACTCTCCAATCTGCTACCTTTTGAATTGAAAGAGTAGTGCAATTTGGCAGCCATTCCACATATTTAGAGTAGTTCATGCCAATTGAATGTAAGGTATAAAAAGCCATAGTGCATATAGTTGTTAAATCTGAGACTGGATGTGGTGTTATATAAGGATTTGAATTTGAATGATGAGGAACAAATGCACAAACATAACAATCTGACATATTATTTGCCTGAGCCGTTATTTCAGCCATGCGATACCAGTAGTTGTCTTTATAATGATCTACATCTATTTCTGCTCTAGCTGTACGCTTGACATTGTTATATTGTTGACTCCCCCACCAGAGCAGTGATGGAACCACAATAACTATCAATGTAATCAGCATTATTAGACCACTACTGCATCGAAGTCCATGTCGAGTGGAGAATACTTTGAAGACCATCTTGTAAACAGTCCTTTTTGAAACAGTCCAATTCACCAATATCACAAGATGAGAGGTTACTAGCACATCATCAAGTTGTACAAACTGTGTTTCTTGTGCATTAAACCACTGGAGGATCTCCCTGCTTCACTGACTGTTGAGACGAGCACATCTGCCCCCCTTTGTAGGTCAGCCTTCCCCTCCGCTGTGGTTGACACAAAATCTCTCAGATTTCTCTTTTTGCAGTGTGAGAGGTGAATCCACGTGGGTCTTTCTGCTATCTTCACAGCAGTGGGTGTCGTCAGAAGCACTTGATGCGGACCTTCCCACCGTGGACTGGACCAGGACTTTCGTTTGATGACTTTAACAAACACCCAGTCTCCAACTCGAACAGGCAGCTCCTGTGCACAAAATGGTTGACTCGGAACATTATTTGTTTCTTGACACGCTCTAGTCAATAATGTTTTTCTCATATAGTCAGCCAACGTAGGATTATCATCAGGAGAGAACTGCTTATTTGGCTGTAAATCTGGAAGTGTGTATGACCTACCATATAATATTTCAAATGGTGTCAATGCACTACCCTGAGTAGGTGTTATATGCATGCTTAACTGTACCAAGTCTATGCATTCAGGCCATTGTCTGTTTGTTTCCTCCATGCATTTCCTCAATTTAGCTTTAACAGTGCCGTTATTTCTTTCAACTAAACCTGCACTTTGTGGATGGTAGCTACAATGTCTTTTTAGATTTATGTTGAGATTTTGTCCCACCTTATCAATCACATCATTTACAAAATGTGTTCCATTGTCACTCCTGATAACTCTGGGAATCGAAAATGTTGGCACAATTCTTTTACATATTGCTTTAGCCACTGTTAGAGCGTCCGGAGAGTGACAAGGAAACAATTCTACCCATTTGGAAAATGCATCAATAATCACGAGGCAATATTCCAAATTATTCACTTTATTTAACTGGATAAAGTCCATGTGGATTTCTTC